AAGAACCAAGGAAAGATAAGAAGGTTAAATGAAAGTATAAATTTTTAAATTTTTCTGTTTCTTTTTTTTTTCTTTTTTGTCTTTCTTTTTTATGGTTATTGTTATTTTTTGTTTTCCTTTTGTTACTGTTATTGTTGTTTTTTGTCTTTGAAATCTTGTATTTTTGTATGTTTTGGAATCTTTGTAAAACCAATAAATATTATATTAAAAAAATAAAAATAAAAACAAAAAAAAACAAAAAAAAAAAGGAGACCCAGAACATGTGCAGAAGGTAAAGGTAAAGGACCGCTGGACAATTAAGTCCAGTCAAAGGTGACTATGGGGTTGCAGCGCTCATCTTGCTTTTGGGCTGAGGGAGCCAGCATTTGTCCACAGTCAGCTTTCTGGGTCATGTGGCCAGAATGACTAGACAGCTTCTGGCACAACAAAACACCATGAAGGAAGCCAGAGCGCATGGAAATGCCATTTACCTTCCCGTCACAGCAGTACCTATTTATCTACTTGCATTGGCTTGCTTTCAAACTCCTAGGCTGACAAAAGCTGGGACAGGGCAACGGGAGCTCACCCCATCACCGGGTTTCGAATCACCAACCTTCTGATCGGGAAGCCCATGACGCTCAGTGGTTTAGACCACAGCACCACCCGCGTCCCTGGAACATGTGTGACCATTGCCAGCTCCTCCTTGTCTTTCTACCCAGCTAGATGTACAATCCACAGCACCAGAATAAAAACAGAAATGGACATAAAGATCGAGACTTTGGATCATCTAGGACAGTTTCATGCAGTGGGTCTTTGACTATGCGACTATTTGAGTTTAGATTCATCAGGGGGACCTAGATATCTTCTTATTATGAGATAAAAAAGAAAGGTAAACACAACAGACATTCTTAAAATACATTACATGTTGGCAGTTTAAGGAGCAATCCTATGCACAAGAAATTGGTGTAAAGCAAACTGGTGCAAACTAAGCCAGCATAAAGTTGTGTCCAGGCCAAACCCAGTTCATCAGTGGGGCTGCTGCTGCTGCTGCTCTGCCTAAGCCTGGAAGAGAGGAAAATAGCCTTTTAAATGGAATTCTACATTACGTCGCCCAGTCATGTGACCAAGCTGAAAGGACTTAGAATCCACCCATCTTGCCCCTGCAACAACCCTTTTTCAGGATGTACACCAGCCTTGGCTGAGCCAGGGATGGGGGTGTTAATGTCATCTGAGCCCGGCTGAGCCAGGAATCCACAGCATCCTAAACAGCTCCTCCTGGCTCATCTTGCCATAGGATTTCCCCTTAATATTGAATATATTGAAGGCACCCAAGAACAGGTTGTTGGAGCTTGTCGTCGGTTTCTCCTCCCCCCCAAATCCATTTAGCATCCCCTGGTAAAACCAGGAAGCAAATGCACCTCTGCATCATCATCCCAAGTCTTCTTCTTTCTTTTAAACCTTTCCTTCTTTCCACCCCAACTACTCCTCCATGGGCAGTACTTCACTTCACATAAGAGCTTCAACAGGAAATAATTAAAATACTATTCCTTGTCTTTCATAGTCTGCACTGGAGAAGTCTATTCTACAAAGTTCCTTTTTTAAAAAGCCACTAATTAATCATGGAGTCAAATGCTGAATAAAACAGTGCAGAAAATTGCCTGCTTATGAATTTCCCAATCCCATTCCCGTGCACGCTTCAATTTTTAGCAAACTAGTAAATTTAAGATTTTTGTTACTTCTGACAGCGCACATGATTTATATCCCTCTTCATAAGGAGAGAGTCAGCAGAGAAGAGCCACTGCTACAAGATATCAATGCCCTGGATGTTATATCAGAAGCCTGGGAGCTGCTTTTGCTAGTTGAGGTGCAGGGAAGCCATGGGCGGTTGGGGCCAATGGCATGACAATGTTGCAATAAACACAGGACAACCACTTGGGATTTAAATACACCACAACTTAATTGATTACAGATGTCAGCAGGGTTTGGTGCAGGCATTGGGTGTGTATCCTGAATCAACCAATCCATCTGCTGGTTGATTATTTGGCAGGGTTAACCAAGGATAAAAATCACCCTAAGGCGTACATCAAATCAGGGCAATGCCTCCAAGATTAGCATTTTGAGGGTGCTATGGCCCACCAGCCCCCATCTGGTTGTCTGGACAGAAGCATCTCCCCCTGGATCCCTTTAAGGGAATACCCCAAGTTGCAGGGCTCTCAACCCCTGTCCACCTAGGCTAAGGATCCAACCCAATGCCTTAACCGCCATCAAGTTGTGGCAATTGCTATGAGGTAGGCAAAATCCCCAGACAGGTTCAATTTGTGTCAGGGACTGGACTGAGGAGGAATGGTGGGAGCCCCCCCCCCCCCCGAAGCTTCCCAAGGGCAGTAGGACAGTATTGATTTAGAACAGTGGTTTGTAGAAGGGCATAGCCCAGAGAGGAATAGCTGGGAAATACTGGGTGAGGAACAGCTAGAAGAAGGAACACCAGGAGAGGGACAACATTGGACAGCATTCCTGACCTGCCCCCTTCGCCCAAGACTAGAAGGGCTTGAAAAGTGTTAGAACAGAAAGCAACGGCAACAAGCTGAGATTACCTGATGTAGGAGGGATGGAGATTAGTGGGGACGGAGGTACTGGGAGCAACACCATTTTTTTAAGAGATATGCATTCCTTGTCTCGCGCTGTAATAATTAAAGAACTTATATGATAAGAGCACTCCTTTCATTTCATCTGCTCATTTACTGCCACCAGGGGAGGGATCCCATTCCACGAAGCCTGACAATTTGTCTGAAGGGAAATTCGTCCCTGGCCCCGAATATGGCAACCAAAGACTTCCATAGCAAGGTCTTATGCAGGGTCTGCCGGCTTATCCTCAGGCAGTCCTATCATATAAAGAGTGGCTTGGATGGAGAATCCAGTGGTGATGGAGGCTAAGGCCTGGGCATGGCTGACTTTTATACGCTGGAAGAGGACTAGAGGGAAGAACTTTGGCCTGCTCCCAAAACTGCACCCCATAGCTCACCTGCAATTGGCTGCAACCGCAGATGAGCCCCAGCAGCCAGTGTGGCTGGTGGAGTAGGACATGACCTCCTCCCCCAGCTGTGCCAGAGCCAGAAGACCTCTCCAAACTGCCATGGCTGTGCATGATCACAACCACCACTCCCTCCAGCTGGTGGTAAGTGGTCCTTCTTTGGGTTCATTCCATAACTGTGCTCCATTGTTTAAATGCAGGAAAACCTTGCGGCTGGGATTCCATTACATAGAATCTTAGCACTGAAGAGAGCCTGCCTTTCATAAGTGATCTAGTCTAGGGGTGGCAAATCGATGGGACCTCCAGAAGATGCTGAACTACAACTGCCATTATCCCAGCCACACTAGGTGGGGCTGATGGGAGTTGGGAGTCCAACCACATGCTCTATACCACATAGAACAGATATGCAGGTTATCTACCCTTGATTTAGTCCACACCCCCCATTCAAAGCAGAAAACCTTGACCACCTGTAACAGATGGCAGTCCAACTTCTGTTGAAGATCTCTAACAAGGAAGAGCCCTCCACCTCTCTGGTAATGCGTACCATGCAACTGACGCTCAGCCAGGATTAGAGACAATAACTGGGTGTTGAGGTGTTGAGGAGATACCATACAATGGGCTCCACTGCGTATTCATGGGCCTTTTCACAGGTTGTTATCAGGTTGCTACTGTAACATTTAAAGGGCATCCTCGATACAGTCAGATCTGCTGCACAAATTGCTTCACATCCACTTTCAAACTTCTGCTAATCAATCTTTTAATTGTCTCACACCCTATGGTCACATATCACGATGCAGAGATGCAGAGTAAGATAAAAGCTTCCTGAGAATGCTACTTAATGTTGAATGCACGGAATATAAATGGCAGAAAGCAAATAATAATTTGGGTGGATTCTCTCTGCTTCATGCCACATTTTTCTCCAAGCCTGTGTTTAGGGAGGCTGGCATCTCCCACAACAGAAATTTGAGGGATGCATTTTTCACCCCAATTATTCACCCTAATAACATTGTGTTGTGAGCTGCTTGAAATGAATCCCTGTGTTTGATTGCAGACTTATTTTATGTTAGTTGAGAAGAGCAGTCAACAGATAACTGCAGGAAGACTGTGTTATCTGTTTTCCAACTTGTTGGTGTTGCCTAGACTCAGCAGTCCTGCTGCTGATACAAGAATGGCTGCTTGGCAGTCACTGATGTTTATAGACTTCTTGGATTATACCAACATTCAAGGATTTCCATAGGACAGTGTTAAAAGATAATTCCTGTGTGCCATGGTGTATCAAATAAGAATATAGCTGTCATCAAGGCTACATCTAACAAAGCGAAAAGGCAGAGCTGTCAAACACAACAAGATTCTTTGCTGTGAATTCAGAAACGAAACAAGGCTGAGCTCTATCACCCTAATTATTTGGGATTCCTAGGGCTTTAATTGCAAGGACATTCTCACAAAACCTGTGCGTGGGAAACAGTTAAATTACCGTGTTTTTTGCCCCATAGGACGCACTTTTTCCCCTCCAAAAATGAAGGGGAAATGTGTGTGTGTCCTATGGGGTGTGCACCGACCCCTCTCGCTCTCCAGGCTTCGCGCAGATCTCCGCAAGCCGTGGGAGCCTGCGCTGGGCTCCCGCTGCTTGCGGAGAGTTGCCTGCATGCCGAAGGCTGGGCGCACTGAGCTCAGCGTGCCCAGACTTCGCACACCTCTCCGCAAGCAGCGGGAGCCCTGCACTGGGCTCCCGCTGCTTGCGGAGAGTTGCCTGCATGACGAAGGCTGGGCGCACTGAGCTCAGCGCGCCCAGACTTCGCGCACCTCTCCGCAAGCAGCAGGAGCCCTGTGCTGGGCTCCTGCTGCTTGCTGAGAGTTGCCTGCATGCCGAAGGCTGGGTGCACTGATCCCAGCGCGCCCAGACTTTGCGCACCTCTCAGCAACTCTCCGGGCAGAGAGTTGCCTGCATGCCAAAGGCGGGGCGCACCTCTCCGCAAGGCGCGGGAGCCCTGCACTGGGCTCCTGCTGCTTGCGGAGAGTTGCCTGCATGCCGAAGGCTGGGCGCACTGAGCCCAGCGTGGCCAGACTTCGCACACCTCCCCGCAAGCAGCGGGAGCCCTGCGCTAGGCTCCCGCTGCTTGCTGAGAGTTGCCTGCATGCCGAAGGCTGGGCGCAGCTCTCCGCAAGGCACGGGAGCCCAGCGCTGGGCTCCCGCTGCTTGCGGAGAGTTCCTTGCATGCCGAAGGCTGGGTGCACTGATCCCAGCGCACCCAGACTTTGCGCACCTCTCTGCAACTCTGCTTGCGGAGAGTTGCCTGCATGCCGAAGGCTGGGCGCACCTCTCCGCAAGGCACGGGAGCCCAGCACTGGGCTCCCGCTGCTTGCGGAGAGTTGCCTGCATGACAAAGGCTGGGTGCACTGAGCCCAGCACTCCCAGACTTCGCGCACCTCTCCGCAAGGCGCGAGGGCCCTGCGCTGGGCTCCCGCTGCTTGCGGAGAGTTGCCTGTTCTGGGGGCTGGGTTCGGGGGAAGCTTGGGCTTCCCCCGCCCCAGCCCCGTGCCTGGGGGGGAAATAAATTTTTTCCCCTTTATTTCCCCCCCAAAAAACTAGGTGCGCCTTATGGGACAGTGCGTCCTATAGGGCGAAAAATATGGCATTTTTTTATTTTTATTTTTGCTAAAGATTTGAAAACTGCTACGACTTAGAAAAATAAGTGGGAAATATTGATGCGCCATATCGTGATCAATATGGCAAACTGATTGTGATCTTCATTGTTTCCCCATCAACTCCTGACAATTCAATAAAGGCGAATCTGAAGAAAGGAAGCCATATTCCGTATGGAGGGAGCATCACCTCAGTTCATACTGATTAAGTGGGTTAACTTATTAGTCCCGTATCACTTGAACCTCAGTCCTTGCATTGTTGTGAGGGAAACTTGGATGGGGAAGAGATAACAAGCTGCACGATAAAGGGTGGCACCTTCACTTCTGCTCTCCCTGCCTAAGGACGTGGCCTTTGCCACCATTGGACTCTGAAGATGTCTCCATAATACAGCATCTCCAAAGGCCCTTTAAAGAGGACAACTAGCTCCTCTGAGGAGACAGGGCCAACTGCAGAGCAGATCTTATCAGCATTCAGGTGGCTTCATTTCCAATACAACATTCATTCATTATACACAACAGGGAGAAAGCAACAGTTACTAAAGCTCAGCAAGAGCTTTCCGTGGTTCTAAGGAGGCTTCTCTGATTCTGAACACATCTTGCCAGTTCAAGCAACACCCACCTGACCCTGACTTTGTCTGAGATGACCCTGCTTCCAATAACTACTGGAAGAGACTTGACCTTATTTGAGCTTATTGAAAGCCTCTGCAAAATGGGATAGTTACTAGGATTGGTGAAACATCAGCACCCTTCTCAAGCTGAATATTATCTGGAAAATAAAGTATACAGGATAAAGACGAAGGACACCCAAGACTGATATTGCTGAACAATACCATGCAGACCAATGAAATGTGGTCTACACAATACTGATATATTTGGAGGCAAACCTATATATTTGGAGGCAAGTAAGCTAGCTTATTTGGAACTAGCAAGACCTTTTAACAATCTAAAAATAAAGAACACACACACACAATTGCAGACTCATTAATTTATACTTAAAATGGTATTTTCCTTCCCTAAAGATGGTGAACAGGAATTCACACTCCTGTTTCTTATTTTAAAATAACCTATAGATCCCTGGGCCATCTTAAATAGTATGCTTTCTTAACTGTACAGAGATTATCCTGAGCTGGATGTGCATTAGAAATGGTCAGTGGAAAAGCACAGCAGAGAAGATTGCTTTCTTATCCAAGAGAAAATTCTTCTAACAATTTACTTGTGTCATGTTGCAGTTTTACTTGACATATTTATACAATTCTGCTACTTTCCCAGTAATTATACTGGAATGAGCAAATAGATCTCTTTTCATTATGTGACCAGATGTATGATAGCTTGGGGGGGGGACCAACAGTGACCTTTTTTTACTTGTCACTCAGCCTTGCTGGGTCAGACCAATTGTGGTTTTTGTTTTTGCTTTGAGGCTATTACAGAAGTTCAAAATAGCTAGAACACCACCTTTCAGTGAATTGCAAATGAACATCCATAACGTCTTTAATTATGACTGAAAAGTTACTTTTTTCTGACTTTAAAGATCCTTCCTCGCAAGAACTGTTGATTATGATTTTCACATTCCCAAATAAACTCAGCTTTAATAAATTGCTTGTGATTCTTTGGATCACAACAATTATAAATTCAGAAAACTTCCTTAAATTAAAAGCAATTTAGAACATTTGAAATCTTTGCAAATCTAGTGTTGTTATTGTTTTGCCAGAGGGTGTGCTGAATTATGCATAATCAATATTTATGATTGAAATTATATTAACATTACTAAAATCTAATCTCACTGGGTGCAGGTTTCCAGTAATTATTCCAGGTGTTGGCTGTGTTGTATGAAAACCACACTTCCAACACTTCCCAAACTTGGGATTTTTTTATAGAATTCTTAATGAAACTCCTAATGAAACTCCTAATTTGATCGCTGTCACAATCAAATATTAAGTCACATTAACAACAAGCTTAGCTGTGCTTAATGAATTCCAGAGGAATCTCCCTGTTGCCAAAACACACAGCAACAACAAGAAATCTGATCAGGATGTGCATGCAATATGTTGGAATGAAAAAAAGGCTGTTATCATGAACATTGTTTCTAGGTATCAAGTTCATCTGAAATAATTCATTCTGACTAACAGTGGCATGGTGTTAAATAAGAGTCCAGTGACTAATTATTACCATATTTATCACCCAAACTCCAAAGTTATACCCAAGGCAGTCGTTAAATATTGGTATCATCTGGCATCAACCAAAGTCCATGTCATGGACTGGCTGGACACAGAGGAATGGTAGAAGGAACCAGCTGGGGAACCACCAAGAGAAGAAGGCTCAGAGCCCGGGGATTGTTGGTGGGATGACAATGAGTGGTCAGAGGGAGAAAAGGGAGAAGCCTGGGAAGAGGAGGCATCAGAAGCTGAAGGGGTAACAGGACTTAGTGAACTGGGAGAATCTTTGGCAGAGAGAAAGCAGGAAGAATCATGAGACAGAAGCTGAAGCAGGTGAGTGGGAGGAGGGAAGTTCAGAGGCAGAGATGAGTCAGGCTGGTGAAGAGTCACTGGTATCTCTCCCTCCTGCTGTGACAAGCTCCCCTCCCACTTTGCCTCCCAGTACCAGGCAAGGCGTGATATGTGAGCAACAATGGCAGTCTGCACACAGACACAGTCTCTGATTGCTTGGAAGAAGCCCTGGTGAGGGGGAAACCTATATGGCTGAGGGGAGGTGAGGACGTTTAGTCTCAGCAACTGATTTCATGGAGTAAGACCTACAGGGAATGAGCTGTTGTGCTCATTAGGTTGTAAACTCAGCCAAGCCGATGAAGATCATGTTACTGGTAATAAAGAGTTAACGTCAACTTTGAACTGTGTGATTTACTGACCTGCTCACTCTGTGACAGCCCATATCCCAATGGAAGTCCCAGCTGCCGATCCATAGGGTACTCTGCTCCTCTTTGAATGTGCTACCTGTTCACCTGCCCTGTCTGAACATGTGAAGGAGTGATGAGAAGCAGCAGTAGACTCTCCTGCTATCTCCTGCTCCCTCTGGGCCACCATGCTGGTTGTCCCCAAAGGAAGAGGACAAATGAATGAGAAGGAATACCAGGTGCAAGGTTATGGTAGTGGCAGTGGCTCACTAACAGCAAACAGTTCCTAAAACTTGGAACTATCACTACTTATATAACAAACGCCACAGACAACTTTTGCCATCAGTAGAGATTGTGCTATCTGATCAGGCAAGCACAAGGTAACAGTAAAGAATCATAGAAATGATGGTGTCAGAAACATCTGTAGAGGACTGTCTGAAAAACTGGAGAAGTCCTTGTCAGCTGCCAAGTTTATTGGTGACAAAGTTTAGAAGATTACTCACAGCTGTATCTTCATGATTGTTGTTGTTTAGTCATTTAGTCATGTCCGACTCTTTGTGACCCCATGGACCAGAGCACGCCAGGTACTCCTGACTTCCACTGCCTTCCACTGCCTCCCGCAGTTTGGTCAAAATCTTCATGATACTCCACAACAACTTGCTATGGATATTGACAGGACATGGGGTTGATTCACTTTTTGCTTAGGCTTTCTACAGCTTTACAGTAGCAAGGCCATGCTCTGGTTACCTTTTTACCTTTCACTCTAATTCTCCTGCTACCAGCGACAGAGGAACAGTGCCAACCCGTGTCTCAGTGGGTGTAACCCCCGCCCCAACAAATGCCTCAGATAAGACAGAGGTAATTAGTGTTCTTTCAACAAGAAGAAAAGTAATTGTTTTGTTTGAAGAGAATGGTGTTGGAATAAATAGGGTTGGAGGAGGTTAATTATAAATCTGATTAAGGAGAACTATAGATCAAAGTATAAAATGGAAACATTAAATCAGGTCATGGGTACTCCGATAAATTTAAATAAAGTAGAAAATAATTTAGGAAGGCCTATTGTTGAAAAATGCTGAAGAACAATCTCTTTGTTTTATTAATTGTGTTTAGTTATGAGAAAAAACAGTCTATAAGCCTATGAGCATAATATGGAACAGGACTTCTAGAGATATTGCGTTCCTGAGCCATTTAAGGCTTTATATGTCAAAACCAGCACTTTGAATTGGGCTCAGAAACTAATTGGCAGCCAGTGCAGTTGTGCCAGGATTGGTGTAATATGCTTAAACATCTTGCCCCGGTGAGCAACGTGGCCTCTGAATTCCCAACCAGTTGGAGTTTCTGAACCATCTTCGGAGGCACTGCAGTAATCTAACCCAGAGATTACTAAAGCATAGTCACATGAGTTCGGCTACCCCTGTCCAGACAGGGACACACCTGGGCCACCAGCCAAAGATGATGGAAGGCACTCCACACCACTGAGGCCACCTGAGCCTCAGACAACAGCAAAGGATCTAGATAGAAGTACCCCCAAGCTATGTACCTGCTCCTTCAGAGGGAATGTAACCTGTAGGAATGGTGTTTGTGGGGTAGGGGGCACACACACCCTCCCTGGCAGGGGTGTCTAGCAGCCATGCCCTATCTTTCACCTTTTGCCTCCTCAGCAGTGTGCCATGCCCTGTCTCTGACCTTTGTCTCCTTTACAAAAGGGTTGCTCAATTTCCCCTCT